TTGCCTACACAAACAAACCTGAATCTGACGAAGCCTCTAGATCCAATTACCAATTCTTGGGAAGTACAAAAGCCAGAGATACATTAAACTACATGTAGATGCAATCAGCAAAATCCAAACTTTGGGAAACTCTCAGGACAGTGATCCAATTTCATCAACAAACATTTTACAAGGGAAAAAACAAGATGGAGTTGGGGGGAGGGGGAGGATGGGACCTATAAATTAGGAAAAATTTAAAATCACTTATCAAGTGAAAAACAAAACTAAACAGAACAAAATTATTAGAGATGCACACTGGTTGGGACCAGAAGATTATAATTGGAAGAAAGCCTTGAGCAGCTTCTGGATAAGCCGACAAGTTCTACTTCTGACCTGAGTGATGGTCGCAAACATATTTGCCTTAAAATAATTCATTAGCCTACCATTTGTTTGTGCTTCCATTTGTATTTTAATCAAAAACTACATGAAATGCTTATATACATATGTATTCGTAAGTTTATATGATTGTTTATATGATTTTTATACTTGTTATATTTAATATCCCCCCCCAAATTTATAGTAATACATATCACAAACCTGAGTACTAGGCAAATGTCATTAGTAGGATAATTAAGGTCTCCACAGATTCCATGCACAACACTGTACCTTACACTTTACTGAATGTTTAAAAAAAAAGAAAGAAAGAAAAACTTATCATACACCAATTCCAAAGGCTGGGGAAACAAACAGATTCACAGACACTGGGCTAATATCCATAATATATTAAAAGTCCTGATGAATCAATACTTAAAAGATGCCCATTAGAACAATGGATAAAGAACACAAACAGGTTAATTCAGAGAGAAAAATACAAACTATCTTTAAAGGTTTTATAAATAAAGACAGTAAATAACCAACCCCCCAATAACTAAAACAAGTTGACAATTATCTATTAGCTTGGCAAAGACCAGGATTGATGAAACCCTCTAAGTATTGGCCAGGATTTAGGGAAACCAGCATTCATATTACTGGTGGGCGTGTATGTTAACATCAATTTTACAAATCAATTTGGCTTTCTATTAATTCCTCCTACAGAAGTCAGACAAATAAAAAGACATATGTACATTAAAATACTGTTGGCAATAATGAAAAACATGAGACTAATCCAAATGTCCATTAATGGGAGATTTAACAAAGTTATAAAATGAAGCCAACAATGATTAAAAAGAATGATGTGTGCTTATTCTGAAAGTTCTCCACAATATAAAATACAAGTACAAAAAGTAAATTGCACACCAGTATATGATGATGCTACTGGAAAAATTGCACAACACTGGTCTATCAGAAGTAAACACCTATGTAATTCTAGCATTGGACCGAGAAAGTACTGTATACATATCAACATTTAACCATGTTACCATCCACACTCCTTTAAAGGACAGCCTGCAAGGTTATGAATATTAATACTACCTCACTGGTACTATTAAAGAATATATGACATTTGTGCAAAACTTACAAGAGCCAGGTATATTATTCGAGGACCTGATGCTCTGTGATGAACTGGAATTTACCTTAGACTGTCAGTCATCTTGACCTGAATGAAAGTGAAATGGAATAATGTTATCTGACAATATATAGTAAGTGCATACAAGATGGAGAGTTGGAATTGAATTTCATGAAATAAATACCTTACAGACTTGTGACTGGTGGTTTCCATGCTCCTGGGGCAAAAGTAGTCATTACTTATTGGCCCAATATTGCCACTGAACTGTCAGACACCAGCCTCTCTTTCCTTTGGGTGATGACCAAATTCAAAGGTGTGTTATACTGGAAAAGAGTATTGTACACATCTATTCACAAACAATGGGAAGAACTGAGTGATGGAATGTGTTAAGAGACCACTGGGCAATCCTGCTTCAACAGTCCAGGGACTTTCTTGGCCATTTGACACCTGGTAATGCTTTTTTCTCCTAAGAACATACAGAATTATTCAACTTTTTCATCCCCCAAAAATGTGAGTTATACCAAGATATTGTAATAAAGCAGGGATGTCCCGTTATCATTGTAGTTTGCGTAAGTGTGAGAATTTTTTGCATGCCTATTGTTTTTTGTCTGTTAGAGAAAAGAAGCCCCCTCCTAGTGCCCAAAGAACGGATAAACTGTAGTGGAATGCTATTACTGCCAATCATTTTAGGACTTAAAGCTCAAACACTTACCAGATAATGTAAGATTGGGTAAATCATCCTCTCTAGGCCTGTTCTTCAATAAATGAAGGCAGTTCTTAGGGTTTGGGGAGGTCAAAACGAAATATAAAGTATTTAACTAGTAGGCACAAAAACACACATTCAGTGTTTCCTTTCTCCCTTTGGTTAGAACGTTTTCCCAGATATGATTATTTTAAGGAATACACCTCAAACAATATATGAAATCAAAAAAACACAGCAGCCCTAATCAGTTTGGCTCAGTGGATAGAGCGTCGGCCTGCGGACTGAAGGGTCCCAGGTTCGATTCTGGTCAAGGACATATACCTTGGTTGCGGGCACATCCCCAGTAGGGGGTATGTAGAAGGCGGCTGATTGATGTTTCTCTCTCATCGATGTTTCTAACTCTCTATCCCTCCCCTTTCCTCTCTGTAAAAAAATCAATAAAAAATATATTTTTTAAAAAACACAGCAACTAATTCTTTGCACAATAGATCTTTCTACAATTTTCTATTAAAATTCACTGCCTGATTCTTGGATCAGAAGACTTTTAAAAAGTGGCATAAATACTGCTTCTACCACACAGAGTAATTATTTCCATGGAGCCACACCATTCGTGCTATACAGAGGACTATGAACAGCAGCATTTTACAGGAGAAAAGAGTTCTAGATATCAGCTTGCCCTCCAGGTAGTACTACGTTTTCTCTCTGAATACAGAAGCAGGTGATGAAGTTGGGGCCACACACAGGTAGAGCTGGTGTGTAGTCTGCTGTGAGCAAACACTGGCAGAAGTTCAGGCAGGCCTTTCCCTTGCCTGAGATAGTTGCTGCTGAAATGAAAAATATCCATTACTTCTAAAATCTTTTCAAGGGAAAAAAATAATAAATCTTCACTTGAAAAGAAACGCCAAGATACTGATAACAGTTTCCAGTATGCATTTTATGGGAAGAAACTATAAACTGATAGTTTTTATACTTAGTTTCCACCAGTAGTATAATTTGGGGAGGTAAGGAGTTTATTTTAATGGACAGAAAATCTGTCTTTTCTCATGTGTTAAAACAAGGACTGGAAACTACTGCCCATGGTCAGCTGCCTGTTTCTGTAACTAAGAATTTATTAGAACACAGCCTCACCCATTTATTTGCATTATCTATGGCAACCTTCATTCAGCAGAGTTGGGTAGTTGCATCAGATATCGTATGTGGCCTAAAGCCTAAAATATTTACTATCTGACCCTAGGAAAAAAGCCTACTGCCCCAGCTGGGTAGTTCAGTTGGTTGGAGTGTTATTCTCTACATCAAAAAGGCTGTAGGTTTGATTCCCAGTCAGGGCACACCTAGGTTGTGGTACAATCCCCAGTTGGGATGCACAGGAGGCAGCTAATTGATGTTTCTGTTTCTCTCTCTCTCTCTCTCTCTCTCTCTCTTTCTCCCTTCCCCCCTCTCTCTAAAATCAATAAAGACATATCCTCAGGTGAGAATTAGAAAGAAAAAAAAGGCCCTCCAACAACTACATTAAAATATTACCACACTATATTAAGGCTCAGTAAAACTTCCTTAGAAAGAAAACTAAGGTAAAATACAAAAGTACAAATGACATGCTTGCTCTGATTCAGGCACTTTCAAGATCATAGTTTATTTCTTCAGATAAAAAGATAGTATACATATTAGGGAATCCATCTAGTAGTTTTGCATTGAATGTTAACCAAAAGAAATCTAGACACCTGAAAGCCTCACTATTAACATGAACTATGGTAATAAAAAATTTGACATTTAATCTGTTCAATATATAATATTTACATTATGAAACCAATAGTGATATTATTGATAAACAGTGATAAAGAAATAGTAAAAAGCAAAGGTTTATATTTTTATAATGTGCTATTGTCATAATTGTACATAAAAATTAAAACATAGCAGAGCTTTCTGTTATAAAATTCTTAATCATCTGAACTGTAGTCATTACTTGATAACAATTTACATGCAACATCTGCTATAAATGACATTTGATTTCTTCGTGAGAAATTGTGAGTAGATAAATGACATTTAAGAGCAAACATTAATTTACTTGTGGTCAAAAAAAACCAAAAAAAACTGTACTCAAGATTAGTACTGGTCACAAGCCTCTTCCATATAGAAATGGTAAAAACAGTAAGACAAAAGTATTTGCAAAAGGAGATGCACAGCTCAAAAAAATCTTGGGACCAGACACATATCTTTTCTCTCTCCTTCAATAGTGAAAGGTCTATTTTGCCATCAAATAATAGTAACTGAAGCAAGTGAGGGCACCAGGTGTACAAGAAATTAAATCTTGCAAAATACTAAGATGGAGGCAGGTGTGGCCAGAAGAAGGGACAATTTATATATAATTCAAACTATATACAGCATAACTGGAATGCAGCCCATCCCAAACTGGCTTTGTGAAACAGTTGGACCGTTATGATTTAATAGTTAAAATTATAACAAGTTGTATAACAGATTTATATGGGACACAAAATCAAAGGGGCATTTTATATTATTTACTGTGTTGTTTCAATTTAAAAATAACTTTGCTAAGTATACATCTCAACTGAGGTCTATGTATAAAACATCCTAATAGATACAGATATTTACCTTTGGTGAGTTAAAGGCCTTTTTGTGATTTCTGTCTGAATTGTAGGCAGAATGGGAGATGCACATGCACATAGGGGAAAACTCAAACTGAGGTAATCCAAAGGTCTGCATGTGAGGAGACTGGAGGTTACTTTGAAAGTCAAAGCATACCAGAAATCCAGAACAGGTAACAGTGAGCATGGCAACAGAAGGAATGGAATGCCAATATGGCAGTAAAACTTTTTAAAACAGAAAGAGGAAGGCCTCTCGTACCAGCAGAATCCTGCATACATATTAAAAAAAAAAAAAAAAAGCCACCTACCATTTCATAAAACAAAAGCCAATTATAGTGTGGGAAAGTATAAATTGCAGAAAACCAGAAGTCAATAGCAGAAAACTACTGGTTTACTTGAGAGGGAGGAGGAGGCTTCCCCCTGGGCAGTTACTTGGTGAAGGCCGCCACCACCGCCCACAGAACCTCGTTGGCGTTGGCCTTCACACATTCCACCTCAGGATCCAGGTCGAGGAGCTGCCGCACCCTCTTGGTGGCTAAATCATACTGCTCATCCAGCAGGGGAGCGAAGGCATTCTCCAGAACATCCGAGGCGTGGGCGAGGTAAATGAGGGCCAGCAGGCGCTTGTCCATGCGGTGAGGGTCATTCACCCATTTGTCAAGAACAGCTTCCTGTACCTTCTTGATGAGGCGCTGCTTAATGTTGTTGTTGGTGAGGGGATGTGTGGTCATGTCAAAAAGTAGGAAGTTCTGTTTCTCTGTTGTCAATACGCCCTTTTCTACCAGGTTTTTAGCTAATCGTTCCCGTACATTCCTTAATTGATAATGCAGTTTTAATGGATTCCATGTTTCACCTAAACAAAATATTTCAGAAGTTAGAAATGATAGGTATTGGATTCCAGTCAAGATAGAAGAGCAGGTAAGTGCTGTGCTCACCTTCTCCCACTACTACATCAAAATTGCAACTAAATTATGAAACAAATATCATTGAGAACCACCTAAAGACTAGCTGAACATAAATGCTATACCTGAGGAGATAAAGAAGAAGCCACAAAGGGACTGGTAGGAGAGGCAGAGACATGAAATAAGCTGGTCCCACACCCATGAGGTGGCAATTAAGAATCAGAGGAATACTCAAGCTGTGGAGGACCCACTAAGGAGTAAGGGGTCCCAGCCCCAGACACCAGTGCTGGGAAGAGAAGTCCCCATAACATCTGGTTGTGAAAACCAGCAGGGACAGCATCCAAGTGAGAACAAGGGCTGCTGGAGTCCCAGGCGCTCCTCTTGAGAGGCCACACACAGTCGCACTAGCTCACAAACTCACTCACATGGCTCCAGTGTAGGAGCAGCAGCTAGAAAAGCACCAAGGATATATAGGGAGAAACTAAACTGACTAGTTTCAGGGAAAGTGCTGGAAGAGCAGGGGTTGAGACAGCTCTCTCCCAGGGATGGAGTGCTGGCAGATACCATTGGTCCTTTTTGAGCCCTCCCCCAACCCAGCCAGCCAGTCTAGCATAGATGGGCACCAAATCAGAGCTCTCCAATAACCTGGAAACACCATTGTCCTGCCCTGGTGATTCCCTGAGACCCTACCCTATCTAACAGCCTGCAGGTCCACAAACCCAAACAAGCAGTGGCTGTCCATGGTGTTTCCTGCACCTCTAGCTAAGCTACCCCAAGTCTGTCACAAGCAGCAATAGGTGTGAACTTGCATTGTAACTACCATCAAGTAGCCCAGGCCTGGCATACACAGTGACCAGTCTGGCCTTGGAACACAGCCTCAACAAGCAGCCATAAACCCCACACAAGTTGCAGGCTTGGTCTGCAGAATAGCCACTCCCAAGCAGCAACCAACTGCAATTTCATAGCTCCACCAGACAATAGTCCCAAGCTGGGCACAATCAGTGAAATTAGACCATACAAAAATCAACTCAAAGTGGGTAAAAGGCTTAAATGTAAGACCTGAAATCATAAAACTTACAAAAGAAAATATAGGCAGTAAATTCTGACATCGCTCTCAGTAACATTTATTTGGAAATGTCTTCCCAGGAAACAAAAGAAAAAATAAGCAAATGGAACTACATCAAACCAAAAAGTTTTGGCATAGCGAAGGAAATTATCAACAAATCGAAAACAACCTCCTGAATGGAAGAAGATATTTGCCAATGATACATTTGATAAGGGTTAAAACCCAAAATATGTAATAACCACCCCCCCTAAAAAACAAACAAACAAACAAAAACAACAACTAAAAAATGGGCAGAGGACTTGAATAAATATTTCTCCAGGGAGGACATACAGATGGCCAATAGACATATGAAAAGATGCTCCACATTACAAATCAGGAAAATGCAAATCAAAACCACAATGAGATATTACCGCACACCTGTGAGTATGTTTTCCATCAATAAATCAACAGTGTTGGCAAGGATGCAGAGATAAGGGAACCCTGTGCACTGTTAGTGGAATTGTAAATTAGTGCAGCCACTATGGAAAACAGTACGGAGGTTCCTCAAGAAATTAAAAATGGAACTACCATATAACCCAACAATCCCTCTTCTGGGTATGTATCCAAAGAACTCTAAAACACTAATAAAAAAGGATATAAGCACCCTCTATGTTCACTGCAGCATATTTACAATTCAGCCCTGGCCTGTGTTGCTCACCAGTTAGTGTTGGCCTCAGCACCAAAAGATCATGGGTTGGATTCCCCGTCAAGGGCACATATGTAGGTTGCAGGTGCAATCCCAGGCCCAGTCAGGACACATTTGTGTGTGTGTGTGTCCCCTTCCCACCCCCCCTAAATATTAATGGGAAAAATATCCTCAGGTGAGGATTAACAGGGGGAAAAAATTAATGGGGGAAAAATTCTCAAGAGAATTAAAAAATAATAAAATGGCTATTATAAATATCTAAATAACTTAAAGGAAATATGAAAAGACTTTTTTTTAAACAAGTAAATGATCTGAATTGTGATTTTTCATTTTGTGAATAACTTTGTAAAACTAGGAACTTGAAAACAATTATCAAATAATAAAGGGTTGGTACCATGAATTATTAGTAAATTGAAGTTACTGCCTGCATTTAAAAAAAACATTCACTTTCCAATTTAAAAAATCTAGCAAATTAACTTCCGCAAAAGACAAACAACCATTGCATTCAATTTCCTTGGTAACTTCAAAAAACAGCTAAAATATATTTAGGGGTCCTATTAGACTTTAAAACTTAATTGTATAAAAGAAAAATATAATAATAAATGAAATGCTAACTTATAACAAGTTATGGGGCCAGACTGCTGGATATGATTTCAACTTGGTCATCTCCTAGCTATGCCTTAGAGAATATCTTGGCCATTTATTCCCAAACAAAGGCACGGGGTGATATTTGCATAAGACTATTCTGAGAAACCCAAAGTTAAATTTCTCTTTGGCAGACCTAAAAAACAAAACAACCCCTCCCCTCCGCCCAATGCTGCTATACAATGACTTTTTTCTTTTTCATGGGAAATAAATGGGATTAGCAGTTTATGGCTGTATGTTATATTAAAGTTATACTAAGGTTTATCTACAACTTATCTATAATTAAATCTTATCTATTGCAACCAATGCAACAAGTAATGCTTACAAAGTTGCTGTAAGAAATTTCTCAATTTCAAAATATGCTGACAAGTCAGTGTTGCTACTAAAAATGAAAAGAGTCTCTGAACACAGACAGACCCACTGTCAAATAAGGTGCTCCATTTATGAGTGGACCTTCTTATGGGCAATCACTCCTGCCTCAGAGGAAGTAATAAAAAGGCATTTGGCCCTTGCTGGTTTGGCTCGGTGGATAGAGCGTTGGTTTGCGGACTGAAGGGTCCCGGGTTCGATTTCGGTCAAGGGCACATGCCTGGGTTGCTGGCTGGATCCCCAGTCGGGGCATGCAGGAGGTAGCCGATGAACGATTCTCATCATTGATGTTTCTATCTCTCTCTCCCTTCTCCCTTACTCTCTGAAATCAATAAAAATACATATTTTTAAAAAAGGTATTTAGATATCATCTTCTTTTGTACCAATTCCCTGGAAAAGGCAAACCTTGTGTATTCATGCCAACAAATTGTTATTCAGATCTCCTCAGTTACGTGAAAAAATGAATAAATCTCATAAGCAGAAGGTTGATGAAACAGTGTAACATACAAGTGGGGGCGTTAAGCACCCCCATAAAATAACTGCATGGTCCAAGTATCTTGGTATTCTGACATTTCTGCTTTTTACTTTAAAAGAACCAAATTAAGTAAGCTAAATACAAAAAATAAAGTCACCCCTGAGATTAGCATAGTTTAACAGTATAAATTGGGGTGGGAGAAGGGTAGTTGTGTAAGTAAAAGGAAGATACAATAAGATTTAATCTATACTAACTACTAAAGATTTAGATGCTTCAATTTAAGCAGAATATTAAGTAACTTTCAAATATTTGTAATAAATGCCTGATAAATAGTACTAAAAATTCTAGATTAAAAGATGTTACTATGATCCATATTATTATTCATCAGTCCCTAAAGAATTTATTTACCTTTTTGTAAACAAACTTGTGAGAAGCATATAGAGAGGCAAAGTTCTTCAAAGATTATGTCCTCTGCCTAACAATTACTTCAGTGGAAATGATATACTGGCAGCTACCTACATAATTCACTACAAAAAACTTCTCTCTTCCTTGACATCTTACTACAAAACTAAAAGCAGCTGTTCAGAAATTTGGCAGTCTAGTGACACCTTGTGACCAAATTTATCAACTACATGTCTTAAGATTTCAAAAAGCCGGAAACGTTTACTCTTATTTCATTTTTAAATATGTTTTTATTAATTTCAGAGAGAGGAAGGGAGAGGGAGAGAGGGATAGAAACATCAATGATGAGAGAAAATCATTGATTGGCTGCCTTCTGCACACCCCCAAATGAGGATAAAGCCTGCAACCCAGGCATGTGTCGACACTCAACCACTGAGCAACACTGGCCAGGCCAGAAACTTTTATTCTTAAAAACAGTTTTTAAAACACTTTTTAAGTCTTTGCCTCAAATATATTTATCAAATTTTAAATTAATGATATATAAATAATATTTATAATATATCAGTAGGTTTTAGCATGTATGTAGTGTAAATAATAATAAAATTAACCCTTGAGTATCTCTCTATCCAGGTAAAGAAGAAACCTTTGTCAGGACCTTAGATTCCTCCTGTGTCCTTCTCTGCCTCAGAAGTAATCACCAAACCAGCTCGTGTGACTCATTCTCTTTTCCCTACCACCTATGCAAGTACCAATACATCGTTTTGAAAACCAAGTAGCAAAAAGACAGTGGATAGGGCCACCCATTTTAGTACCGTATTTGCTGGCGTATAAGACGATTTTTTGGCCCTGAAAAATATGCCTCCAAGTGGGGGGTCGTCTTATACGCCAGGTACACTTCAGATAGACTGCCCATAGTGCTTGCCCCGTGCCATAGTGGCCTCCCGATGCCCGCCCACTTCATTCCACATACCGTTCAGGCATCAGCAGC